TCTCTCTCTCGCACACACACACACACACACACACACACACACACTCACTCACACATCTATAATAGATGTGCCCAAAAATGTTGCACGCGTCTATAAAGGTCTATTTAAAGACTATATAAATTACACTATAAACAATATAAATACGCTGCATACAGATTCGATGCATAAAGTGATTCTATTTTAAAACATGATGTAGTTTAAGTATTTCTACACGATTCTAAAAACCTGTTCTAAATTTTATATATATATATTATATATATATATATACTTTTGATGGCCAAAAAATGATTCTAAAATTTTCCGTAAATTAATTACACAAAGTTCTGATTTAGATTAAAAACGATGCATAATGCTCTTTAAACCAAAAAATAAAAATAAAAGACACTTCAGATTCGAAATTATTCTTTGATCAAAATAATTTTTCAATAGAAGTTCGAAAAGATTATTTGAAAATGCCTAAAATTCTAATAGCGTCTAGTTAGGCAGCTCGGCATGGTTTGAGACGCGGCCACTCTGTTTCTCCTCCCATCAGGAACACCTTTGGAACACATGGAGCAATGCGGAAGAGCCAAAGAAATCTGTGCCAAATTAACTGCATTACGCCAAGTTTACGTAACTATGCACCGATTACTCCACCTGCACCCAGTGAGATCACGAAAAATGCTTCAAGCGCTAAAACTAGTAATTTAGGCATTTAGCCAAATTTCATTTAGATACTTTTTTAAAATATCATTATTGGTATGGTGAAATTCATACAGCTAGATGTTAAATAATAATTAATAATTCCTTATGAACGCTTCGTTTTATGTGGAATTGCATGAGGAAGTGCACCGCTGCTTTCAGCTGGCAAACAATGAAGCCAAATCATATTTGTTTGTAATAATCATTACATCAGGTCGTATCAAAGTATGAACTCTTAATAGATTCAGCGTGGGCAGTTTCTCTCAACTTCCCTCTGTGTATCATTGAACCTTTCTGCCTCAGCTGCTTTTGAAATCCACTGCAATAGCTATAACAATTATTTGAAGTTACAGATATTGTTTCACACGATCACACGTTTAGATACGGATGTGGAGAGAGGCAGACAGGTTGGACGTCTCTAACATCAATCATGTGACTGGACAAAACCATTGAGAGAAAAAAGACTTTTCTTCTGACAGAGTGAAGTGACAGGTTGTGTGCACATATTAGTGTCATTCATTAGCAGGATTGCTATGTATGAATAAAAAATAATACTTTAATATGTAAGGAAGGGGTGGAGTCATGTAGTGATGACAAAGTGATTTGCTCCCAGAATACAAGTGCAATGTGAGAATTAAACCATGCAAGTTTTTCTGTTCCTGAATTTGTAGCCCTGACTCTTCTGTAGTGTCCTCTGTCTTTATAACTAAAAAGGGAAGATGTGACAAGGATTATAATTACATTCTGATATCAGCCCTTTTCACATCATTGAAAATATTACTGAGAGCTGAATTATAGTTTTGAAGACATATGTGTTTTCACTGTATGTCACGGGAATGTAGATTTACTTCATTATCAGACCTGTGGAGCTCTTGAGTCTTGTGACAAATGAGTGCTAATGACTTTCAAGGCGTTCAGGGTCTACATTTTTTCCCCACTCACTTTTTGTATAATAGTGTTAGTTTAGTTTACTGGATGGGATGTGATGGCATAGGCATAGGCATAGGCATTTACCATTTAACCATAAACAGTTAGCAAAAACATTAGTCATCTACTGCCACCTTCTGGAAATTCATATTCTCTAAGCTTCATGAATACAGTTGCTCACTTTTTCAATCTTGCTTCACAAATAAGAGTTGCACACTTTAGCCATCTCTCAGATGAGACTAAAGATTTATTTGTCACAAAGTACACAAACACATTTTTTTCCAAAGCATAACTTTTGAAAACCAAATGGCCAGGGTAATTGGTGTTTGCACTTACTGATTGGGTCCTCTGGTTCTAAAAATGTGAAGAAACAAACAAATACTGCAAAAAAAGGCTACAAATACATGCATAACGACGGTACGTGTCGCCACTCGATGCTTCAGCTGAATGTACACATAATGGGCAGACTGCAAACGGAGCACAGAGCACGCCGGTATGTCAGTGGAATGATGTGCCACATGTTTATTGACACTTGTACAGAGAAAACAATTATCACCGGGTCATGCAAAGCAATATCATTGCGCACAAAGAAAACACAACACGAACAGTGTGACGCCAGAATAAACATATATTCAAACTAAACTCCTGAGATGTTAAACATACAGTACAATACAATATGCAGAGATACTATAAACATGGCACTCATGAATATCTTGACAGGTTGATAAGTGCTGGATGCAAGCTATGTCGCTAAAACACCAGGCATTCCACTGAAATCCCACCACTGCACTGAAACCGACCAGTCCAAGCATTGATTACTGTAGGAAACTTGAATAGGAAAGTGCTTTTATAAAGATCCCGAGGAATTGTTGAACTAATGTCTTACTGGCTAATGCTTACAAAACACCAACTAGTTACACGCACACACACTACAGGGGAAACTAGTCACAAATATTTGTCTCTGGGTAAAGAAAACACACTACCACGATACAGCTACAACATCGAGGGGTTATAGACGACTTCTGCATACTCCAGCCTCCTGTAACTGATAGCTTAAGAGCCATCCCCTCCTCATATAAATCCCAGTGTTTCGGGGCAGAGCGACTCAAAAAAATGTAAACACCAACATCTTGCGAGAACAATCACTGTACATCACTCTAACCTTCTTAATTAACACTCGGATAATTACAGCAGAGTTGGGAGGAGGGGTTAAATGTACACAGCTACATGGAATTAACCTCAGACCAGGATGCATATCTGTCAAGTCCCTGGCCACCTTTTGGGCTGCGGGAGTTTGTCATTAGTCTGAGAACAGGCTTGCAAAAGACTTTCGCAAGTTTCGAATGGTCTCCGCCTTAGCTTCATCCTCGTTGCTGGAGCGGAAGGTCTCGCCAAAGGCGTTGAAGGCGTTGGTCAAGGACTGGGATTTGCTGCAAAACAGTGAGCACAGTAGAAGGCAAATTAGATCATCTTTGAAGTTACACCTTCATTTGGGCATTCATGTAATTTCAGTGAACACGAAAGTAAGGTGTTGGAGGCAGAGGATCCCAATCCCACTCATGGAGATTTACCTTCCTGCAGAGTTTGCAGCTCTAAACCAGGCCAATCACAGGATTCGATTTCACTTGAAAAGCACAAGCGGGTAAGGTAGAGCAGAGCTGAGTCGTGCAGGAAGGTAGGACTGCATTCCAACTCACATACTGTCTGTCCTATATTCTATGCTACGCTTGGATTAGCAGGTCCCAAAACATAGTACATTGAAAAAAAAAAGAGAACTGATTTGCATCATTTCTTCAACTTCGGCATATTGGCTTACTTCATATGTCAAAGTTAAGGTTTACCACCACCAGCATAGTGTATACATTTTTATAGCAGTCAAAATGGGATTTAGCCCAATTCTCCAGGAGAGGCACCCCTAATGTAGGACAGGGGTGTCCAATCCTGCTCCTGGAGCGCCAACATCCTGCAGAGCTTAGCTCCAACCAGCTCCAACACACTTGCGTGGAAGTTTCTATCGAGTCTGAAGACCTTGATTAGTTGGTTCAGGTGTGTTTAATTAGGGTTGGGGCTAAACGCTGCAGGACAGTGGCCCTCCAGGAATTGCAGAACGGTTTCTTGGACATGGACATGCCTTGCAGCAAATGATCTCCAAGCACTGAAGCAATAGTGAAAAGATTCTTACTTCAACAGAGGATGAGTTGACTTCTGCTGGGGTGCAGGCTGATCCTCCACAGGAGGCTGAGAATTGGTGGGTTTCACTGGGGTAGGTTGGGCCAGGGCCGGGGTGGGAGCAGGGGAAGGAGTTGCTCTAACAGGGGCTGAGAGTGCCTCAGATGGAGCAGTAGTCTGATCTTGGGCTTCAGGTTTGACTTGCTCTCTGAGCACCGGTTTAGGCTGGAGCTGAGGTTTAGCTGGCGATGGGGGTTTAATAGGAACTTTGGCTGGGGATTGCTCTTGAGCTAGGACCAGATCTGGCTGGGTTTGACCAGGATTCTGATCTCTGTCTCCCAGTTGAGCTTTTGGTTGGGCCTTGGTGGGAGGTGGGGTTTGGGGTTTGGGTTGGATCTGAGGCTTGGAGTTCCGGGGACATTGTTTTCAGTGTGTTTGATGAGTACATTCATTGATTTCATTAGTTATACTTTTCACAAAAAAAAATATTTCAGGTTTTCCCACTCTTTGGTAATGCATGCAAATATACTTAAGTAAACATTTCCCATGCAATATAAGGACATATTTTAAACTCTGAACATAGATACCTCTTGCAAATTATAGATACCATCTTGCATGTTGATAAAACAGTTAAAAACATCAATATACAGAACAGGCACTACACTGATAACACCCCAGATATCCCTCTTATACATATTCAGCCTTGTACAAGAACACGGAGAATCATGTCTTTATAAGTGGAAAAGCTCATTGTTTGTAAAATATTGCATTATTAAATGTCAAGGCCAAATCTGTATCACTATATTAGCTTATTTAATTTAATGTATTTGCATAAAAAACAGTGACTCCACTGAATGGCTAAAAAGCGGTACTTCTAAATGACCTCTTATAGGGATACTATAAAATTGCATTGCATTCATGACGCACAGGTGACGGCTGTGAGAGAAATATCTCTAATCAGTTTTTAAACAGTCGTAACATAGATTATTGAAAGGTATCTCTTAACATTTGCTTTCTTATTTGGGTGAACGTCACAAAAACATGTTTAGGTCATTTTTCACGACAAAATAAAAATAAAACGAAAGTATATTGAACAAAATGAAATTCTCATACAGAACAGGCACTACACTGATAACACCCCAGATATCCCTCTTATACATATTCAGCCTTGTACAAGAACACGGAGAATCATGTCTTTATAAGTGGAAAAGCTCATTGTTTGTAAAATATTGCATTATTAAATGTCAAGGCCAAATCTGTATCACTATATTAGCTTATTTAATTTAATGTATTTGCATAAAAAACAGTGACTCCACTGAATGGCTAAAAAGCGGTACTTCTAAATGACCTCTTATAGGGATACTATAAAATTGCATTGCATTCATGACGCACAGGTGACGGCTGTGAGAGAAATATCTCAAATCAGTTTTTAAACAGTCGTAACATAGATTATTGTAAGGTATCTCTTAAAATGTGCTTTCTTATTTGGGTGAACGTCACAAAAACATGTCTAGGTCATTTTTCACTACAAAATAAAAATAAAACGAAAGTATATTGAACAAAATGAAATTCTCATTACTGCAGTGCATCCAGACATTTTACTTTGAGGTTTTTTGCTATTTCCTAATATTTTTGTGGTGATTCTCTTTAGATTCTGATTGGTGTATACTATGTGTGTGTTTTTCATTTAAATAGTTAAAATATGCAGTGATATCCCCCCCCCCTAATCGTCATGAAAATAATGCAAAAAATTGCAATGCAAAAAACCTCAATGGCTTTATTTTCATTATGCAAAATATAAGTTCTTGTATATTCTTTTGATTTTGGGGTGATATATTAACATGACGCATTCTTGACAGGTTTCTTGTGGTTTGACTATTCCACTACAGTAAGTTTTGTATTGCTCAGAAGGATATGTAACATAAGCTGACAGTCAAGAGGTCATGGGAGGAAGGACTCATCTGCTAAATCTAGCCTCCTATTCTGAAACCTTCATTAAACCTGATCCTAAAATTGACTGGCTTAAGTTTGAAATGTAATGGCCATTCAGTTTTATGGAAATCCTTCCGATGGCTTATCTGTTTACAGTTCAACAGGTTGAAAGAAAACAAATGTTTAAGACAGCTTCAAACAATTCCAAAGAACCACCTTCCAACACCTCACATAAATCATGCTGAAAAATAGTAAAAACACACATCTTATTTTTTTAAAACAGAAAGTTATTGAATGCACATGTTGTGTATTCAGCATGTAAAGACATGGACTTACAACAGCAAGCTTGCTTGCACATCACTCATGCAAAACCACAAACACTACATTCAAATAACAAAAAAGAAAAAGAAAAACAACAACATCACACATATAGCACACACACACACAAATGTTACAGCACACATCCGAAAGCAAAGAAATCTCAGCTAGACGATTAGAAACTACCCTTACTGAAATAAGTTCAAGTTGTACAAAAGGTCATAAGTCTTTCATAGTACATATTGACCACATGAGACACCACAGCACTGGACTTTGCTTAGGCACAGTTAGAATTGTTCTTTAGCTGGCAGCGACGACCCTGGAAACCACACGACTAACTAACTAACAAGGAAACGAATGCAGCCATCAGAAGCAAATAGGGACAGAAATGTGAACAGTACAGAAAAACACTTCATAGGGGCGAACGACACAGTCAAGGCAGATTCTGAAGAGCACAAGCTCCAAACCACTGCATCTGTCACTATCCTAACCTCAACCAGCACCAGTGAACTGAGCTTTTGTTTTATTGTGGGCTGAACCGTGTATCTGGAATTGTGACACACACAAATGTTACAGCACACATCCGAAAGCAAAGAAATCTCAGCTAGACGATTAGAAACTACCCTTACTGAAATAAGTTCAAGTTGTACAAAAGGTCATAAGTCTTTCATAGTACATATTGACCACATGAGACACCACAGCACTGGACTTTGCTTAGGCACAGTTAGAATTGTTCTTTAGCTGGCAGCGACAACCCTGGAAACCACACGACTAACTAACAAGGAAACGAATGCAGCCATCAGAAGCAAATAGGGACAGAAATGTGAACAGTACAGAAAAACCCTTCACAGGGGCGAACGACACAGTCAAGGCAGATTCTGAAGAGCACAAGCTCCAAACCACTGCATCTGTCACTATCCTAACCTCAACCAGCACCAGTGAACTGAGCTTTTGTTTTATTGTGGGCTGAACCGTGTATCTGGAATTGTGGCAGTAGAAATCATTTTGCCTGGACTCGTTTTGGTCCGACTGCAACTCCGTTACAGTCGAGAATGTACTGCAAACAACCTTGTGGAGGGGTCCGCTGGCCGAGGGTCTTGTTGGGCTCAGTCAGGCTTTCTTTTAAGGCAGCGCTCTGTAGACACACACAAACAAACACACTCAAATGTTTTTCAGTCTTAGTGTATTTCTATTGATTCCACACCAGGGGGCAACACTAGACAGAAAGAAGACATTGGGAGAAAATGCTTTGCTAATTTAAAGGGATAGTTCACCCCAAAAAATACAATTCTGTCATTATTTACTCATTCTCATGTTGTTCCAAACCTGCATGGTTTTCAAAACAAGATGTCTCAGTGTTTTGTTGTTGTAGCAGCAGGTTTTCCATTTACCTAAGAAGACCTGGCAAACTATTTAACAAACCTGTCTGAGACTGAGAGCAGTTATCTAAAATGATATGAGAAATAAATCGAACAAACACTTTCTTAGAAAAACTACAATCTGAATGTGTATTGTACTGAAATCCTTCTGATATGTCACTTAATTGCATAATCATTTGGAACATAGTGTATATTCTGTTAGAGTGTTCCGGTCCAGTAACACTGGGGTTTGACGACCGTACTTGTGCAGGTTGTACAGTGGTTGGAGGTCTTTGTGGGGATCGAGCTGCTATGCGGCCCGGTTCCTGGTTCATCTTGGCCAGGACGATGGCAGCGATCAGCTGCCGGTCCTCCAGCTGGTGATCTCCAATCAGCTGCATCGATGAGCCCACCACCTACAGCCAAACACATGCAACAGCATTGCTACAGGAAGATTGAGCGATCTATCTGTAAACATCCAGCAGATGCAGCATAGTGGAACTGATGTCCATGCTTCCAGACGGAAGTGTGTGTGATGTGCTGCTCCCGCTCTCAGTGAGGATGCGCTCATTCACTGTGTGCTAAACTAACTAACAAGGAAACGAATGCAGCCATCAGAAGCAAATAGGGACAGAAATGTGAACAGTACAGAAAAACCCTTCACAGGGGCGAACGACACAGTCAAGGCAGATTCTGAAGAGCACAAGCTCCAAACCACTGCATCTGTCACTATCCTAACCTCAACCAGCACCAGTGAACTGAGCTTTTGTTTTATTGTGGGCTGAACCGTGTATCTGGAATTGTGGCAGTAGAAATCATTTTGCCTGGACTCGTTTTGGTCCGACTGCAACTCCGTTACAGTCGAGAATGTACTGCAAACAACCTTGTGGAGGGGTCCGCTGGCCGAGGGTCTTGTTGGGGTCAGTCAGGCTTTCTTTTAAGGCAGCGCTCTGTAGACACACACAAACAAACACACTCAAATGTTTTTCAGTCTTAGTGTATTTCTATTGATTCCACACCAGGGGGCAACACTAGACAGAAAGAAGACATTGGGAGAAAATGCTTTGCTAATTTAAAGGGATAGTTCATATACAAATACAATTCTGTCATTATTTACTCATTCTCATGTTGTTCCAAACCTGCATGGTTTTCAAAACAAGATGTCTCAGTGTTTTGTTGTTGTAGCAGCAGGTTTTCCATTTACCTAAGAAGACCTGGCAAACTATTTAACAAACCTGTCTGAGACTGAGAGCAGTTATCTAAAATGATATGAGAAATAAATCGAACAAACACTTTCTTAGAAAAACTACAATCTGAATGTGTATTGTACTGAAATCCTTCTGATATGTCACTTAATTGCATAATCATTTGGAACATAGTGTATATTCTGTTAGAGTGTTCCGGTCCAGTAACACTGGGGTTTGACGACCGTACTTGTGCAGGTTGTACAGTGGTTGGAGGTCTTTGTGGGGATCGAGCTGCTATGCGGCCCGGTTCCTGGTTCATCTTGGCCAGGACGATGGCAGCGATCAGCTGCCGGTCCTCCAGCTGGTGATCTCCAATCAGCTGCATCGATGAGCCCACCACCTACAGCCAAACACATGCAACAGCATTGCTACAGGAAGATTGAGCGATCTATCTGTAAACATCCAGCAGATGCAGCATAGTGGAACTGATGTCCATGCTTCCAGACGGAAGTGTGTGTGATGTGCTGCTCCCGCTCTCAGTGAGGATGCGCTCATTCACTGTGTGCTAACATAGAAAACAGTTTCCATAGCAACACAGCCATGTCAAGACTAAGATAAAACATTTCAACAGCAACATGTTGTACAGAGAGAAATCTATGCTTTGATCATTATAGTCCATCATCTGACATGAGATTATTCGTCAGACTTGAAGTCATTTGAATAGACACACATTTCTAAGCTATAAAGGAAGAATTATGTCCGTTTTGGAGACAATGAGATGATTTTGTCATTGTGGCATGCCACTGCGAGAAAACAATCATGACCACATCCTTCCATGATGGAAACTCACAATATTGTCTTTTTTTTTTTACCACATCAAAATAAATTTACTGAAAGCACTAGAAATGAGGCATGTTTCTGAGAAATGTTATTGTCTTGTGAGATCAAGAAATATCTCATTATTGTCAATGCCCACTCCCAAAGAGACAAAAACTGCAACCTGTTCAACAGTCCTGAGCATCACTGTGTCTGATTAAGACCAGGCAGTTTGAGTTTCAATTTGTAACTAGTGTGCAGTGGTTACTGTTTAATCAGAGTGATGTATTTAATTTGGAAGCCGTACAATTTCTTTGTGTGTTGAAGAGAGCCAAATTTAAGAGATTCTGTAATAACTGTTCTCATTCACTGAAAATAACACAAAATAACGTTAGGACACAGCTTTGTGTCTTGTGACCGATTGCGACATGCTAAAGGTTTGGATTTATCTTCTCATTGAGAAAAGGGAAGATGCCCAGCACTTAAAACTTTGACTTTGCTCCTCACACAAAGCTATCGTTTGGCTTCAGAAGACATGCAATGCTCGGTGCTAAAAATCACTGAAGTCAGTTTGTTGCAAAGAAATGATTGTAACTGTACTTTTATGTGCTTGTTACGTCTTTTACATTGCTGAGAGGTGCTTTAGAGGTTTAGGTGGACTCAGGTGCTCAAAAATAGCCTGTTAATAGTGTACTGTAATTAAAAGTATTGTGTCTCTAAATCTATCTGGCTGTTATGTGTTATAGTGTTTAAAATGGATTTGATTTATAGGGCTGGGATGGAGTTCTAAAATCTCATCATGACAAAAGTTCTACTTTTGCATGAGGAAAAAGTGAGCTTCCAAAGAACTACTGCAATGTCTGACTCACATTCCTAACAATGGATTTGGCAAGGATTTATGTGTTTTCTGCAAAACCTCATAAAGCATGCACACATTTGTCTGTGTCCTGGCACAATACACAGTCACTGCGGTCAGCGCCTCCTCTCATGACTATAATCTTCTGTCTCTTCGTCTGGTGTTGATCTTCAACTATCAGCTCGCATGCAATTATATAGAGGCCGGGTGGCTTATGTAATGCTTGAATCAGTGCTTGCATCACTATGCTCTCACCTCAGTGATATAGTCCTTTCCATCCTTTCCATGTATGGCTTTAACAGCACAGATATCTAGACCTCCAAAGACATCTGCACAGGCGTCCACCCACAGCTTATATCTGCAGGACAGAAGAGCATGTCACTAAAGAGCTTCCCAATTCCCGATCACTTCCCAAAGACATGTGTTGAACTATTATTAAATTAACTCCCTGTTGAACACCCATTTCAACATCCTGATCTACTTCAGTATTATTCTTACAGAATTGTCAGTACTATTCATTTTGTTTCCTTCCTGCTACTGGATGTTGCATTTTACATCACATTTATGAATTAAACTCATCTTTTGGTTATGTTGCACTGGTCAGTATGCCAGTCGTCTTGGACTTTATAGAAATTCACTATTTGCAAGGAGAAAGTTTTTTTTTTTTAATCCCCGCAAATAAGGTTGTTCAGCTAGTCATGTGATCTCAACATTTATTCTCACAGATAATTTTGATTCATTTAATCAGAAACTAAGGTTAAAATGTACAGTATTTGCAATGTACATCTGCATCATTTGTATGCATAATTGGGCAGCATATGTGCAGTTTTTGTTTCCAGCACCACATTGATTGAACTAATAAATTCTGAAGCGCTGCTGTAGCTTGTTGTTTCTGATCTGTAATGGCCAATCTGGGATACGTTTCCTGTACAATGCCATAACTCACTAGTTAAATACCATAGTGCAATAATGCATTGGTGGAGAAATTAACTAGCTAGTCACGACTGTTTCCCAAAAGCACAGTATTTTTGTAGCACATTAATCGTTCAAATCATGTTGGTTCAACAACATAGGACTGGAATTAATAAAACAATAAGCCCCAAGAAGCCGTGGTTTACAGTGAATTTATAACAGCTAAGGGGCGTTGTTAGGCACGACGCGAAGCGGAGCTGTTATAAATTCACTGTAAACCACGGCTTCACGGGGCTTATTGCATTTATAAAACGGTTATTCCATATACGTAGTAAGGTTTCACAAAATAAAACAGAGCAAATAAAGTGTAATGATATTAATAAAAACAGTAATCTTCCACCAAACAATGTAGCTCCTCTGAAACAGTTGTGGTTGCAACAAAGTGGTTGCCGAGCAACACACAGAAGTAAACAAAGGTGTGTGTTTGTAGAGTAATTTACAACAGCTTCGAACGCGGCTCAGCCAATCAGAATCAAGCACCGGAACTATACGCTTTATAATGATCTCTTTTTTCTCCACTGTTTTGCTTTATTTCCAGATGCTGAAATCACGGGTCCTCCTAGACATAAGCCTCTTAAAAGATGCTTTCATTCTTTTGAAAGTAAAATATGTAGAATGAAATTTGTGTGTATGTATATACAGTATATACAGGTGCATCTCAATAAATTAGAATGTCGTGGAAAAGTTCATTTATTTAAGTAATTCAACTCAAATTGTGAAACTCGTGTATTAAATAAATTCAATGCACACAGACT